GGGGACTGCGAGGGGCGAAGCAGCGGTAGGGGGAGGAAGGGGCCGAGGGAACCGCAGCGTCGGGGTGCAGAGGTCGCGAGGCATGAGGCGCGTTGGAGGACAGGAACGGGGCGACAGGTGGATGGATCCCCTCAAGAAAGTGTTCTGACACAGTTGTGTCACTGGAGTATGTAGCCTGATGAGGTCCGCAGGCCCAGAATAGGAAGCCGAGGGACTGACCACCCCGAGTGCCATCCTCATCCAGAGAGCCTTTTGCAGTCGGTGTGTTCAGACCTCCGCCTCCAGGGAGCCCCCTCTTTCACAGCCTCTGCTCGACTGTTCCTGGAAGTCGGGGTTTGCTTGTTTCGGGAGGTGGATGCAGCTCTGCTGTGGCATCATTTTCCTCGTTCGCCGTCGCAGTGGAAGAAAGAATTGTACACTTACTTCCACGTATCTTCAGCCGCTGGCTCCAGTTTGACCCGGGGCTCCGCTCTCTCTCACGTTGTCACTGTGGATAATCGAGACTTTCAGTCTTGTCCGCAGGCTCCCCGCCTCTGAGCGCTTCTGCCCTGGGCTTCCTGGCTTCTCCACATGCCGGTTCTCTCCCTAGCCTCTCCTCTGTTCTGCCGGCCCCTTTGGGGGGCCTTGGAAATGTTCCAGGTGCTCTGCCTGCGGTGTGGCTGTTCCCTGCCTCCGCGGAGCGCGGGGCCGTGGGGTGTGTCGGGCCGGCGGGCTTTCGTTTAGCCTTCGTTTACGAAAAAGTTCGGGTCTTCGAGTGGCCTGCCGTGGTTCCACCCCACCTCTGCTCTCACTAGTCATGCCGGCCCAGCGACGCAGCCGGTGGCCTCGGTGGCAAGAGCCTCACACCGCGCCGTCCTCCAGCTCCGTGCTGCCCGCCGTGATCCCGGGGGCAGCGGTGGCAGCCTCGCTTGCGTGCTCACTGAAAACGCAGGCTCTCGAGCATCTTCGCGAGAGTCCCAGGTGATTGGCATGTGCCAGCGGAGTTCGAGAACCATGTCGAGCAAGTGAGCTGTTAATTCGGCAGCGAGCCCCTCTTCTAGTTGACAGTGTATCTGAGAGGCTGTCGCAGGATTTTCCGCTGGGTTTATTGCCAGGTTTTGCTGTGCTGTAGTTTATAGACTTCACTGGCTTCGAAGGTTCGATTATTTGAAAGTCTGGTATCTAGGGTCTCCGCTGTTCCCTTACTAGAGACTACCACGAGAAGTTCTGCAGTTCGGGCTCTTCGTTCTCTCTTTGAGAAGTCTGTTTTTTCCACTATTTCCAGTTGGAAGGTGGAAAAAAACTTCTATTTTGTTGAATAAAATCGAAGTTGAGTCCCTCTGCCTTCCATCTTCTGTTTATACCAACTCCCCCACACACTCATTACAAGATCCCTTGATTCTGACTCCGTTTTGCAAAGCCATTTAAAAAATCTTTCCCACTTTTCTGCAAGTTTCTGTTATGGGCTTCAGCCTCCCTGACGCCATTCCTGTAGCACTGCTTGGTATGTGAGTTTTTCTGTTATCTTTGGTTCATGCCCTTCAAATGTCAGAATTTATCCGATGTTTTTGCCTTATTTGAAAGATTTATATCTTTAAAGCCTTTCAATCCTACTGAGTTGTACTATTTATAAGTTAACTTCAGAAATATTTACTGATCCTTCACAAGTGGACTTCATCCTAACTTTCTGTTATTAGCGTTCCAAATATTAACTGCTTAAGAGCTTACGTGGTTTTCTTCAGTTTGAGGAATTGTGGCTGAAGTTTCTTCTTCCTTTGTGTTTTTCCATATACTTTTTAAATTAGCTGCTTACTATTACCACTACCAAATCATATTAGCTCCGTGTAGAAAAAGGCAGTTTCCTTTTGTTATTTTTTTTTCTATTGGCAGGCCCATGTAACTTTTATGAGTGTTTTTTTTAAGCTGTTGATTTCCAGTCTTCTGAAAGTGTTAGGTTAGTATAAAAACATCTTTCAGAAATTTCTCCAGTTTAGTCTTCCCAAAATAAAGGACTCTCAGTCGTGAGATCAGGAAGCTCTTTCCAAAAATATTAAGATTTCCCTCCCCTACCCCTTTCTGAACCTGTTCATTTTATTTGTTTAAACGATGATGATAGTTCTGAGAATAATCATCTAAGGGAAACAATGGGGATATAGATGTGCTCATGTCTAGACCTAAATTTATTTAGGCTCAGCAGACAGGTAGAGGCTTTTTTGGCTCTTATATCCGAAAGAGGGTTTGTTTTTATTTTTCTCTTTAGTACTGATTCGTAAACATCCAGATACTTCATGTGTTGTGTGTGGAATTAAATCCTAGTACCAGTATAGATTACCTCTTTTCCACAAATCAGATTTTCATATGTTCGTGGAAGTAACTTTTATTTTGTCCCTGTGAACTTAAATAAGATCGATCTGAAGTTGGAAGGGAAAGAATTAGAGAATGAAATTTTTTGTTTGCAGTCTTCCCTTATTTTAGATTCTTTACTACCATCGTTTTCCATTAGAGCAGTTAATTGAGAGAGTGTGGAAATCTGCCAACATAGCCACTTCCTAAGGCCATTTAAGTAGTGAATGATAATTAAGAATTTTTGGCTAGTTTTGTGTACTCTCTGGCGCAGGGGTTGGCAAACTTTTTCTGTAAAAGGCCAGATAGTGATTTTCTTCGCATTGCTAACCAAAAAGCAAAACTGAACATATTACATAGTTATTTATATAAAAAGAGAGAAGCCAAATTTCCAGAAAGTTTTTCTTGATAGAACTCAAAACGTAATAATTGAGTACAGTGTTTTGTAATACAGGTCTACGAATGGGAGGAATGGCGTTCTTTGGAGGAGGATGACGTTTTGCTTAATTGGGGCTAACCATATTCCTTATCCAGATCATTTGGAGATGTTCATCTGGTGCTAGCTACTAACTTGAAATGACACTTTCCATATTTCATCTTTAAAAATGCCTTTTCACACATAAAGGTACTGCCATCTAACTAATCCACAAGCACGTAACTTCAAAGAAGCATATCATCCCTCCTTAGAAGGCATCTATAGATTCTGTTAGATTCTGCTCTTGACCTTGTTGGGCATGTTATCACACTACAGGGTTATCACTTTTGATTACAAGTTAGGTGGAAGTACCCCAGTTATACAGCTAAATGGATTTCGAAATAAGAGAATTTCTTTTGTATTTGTGCTGAGGTCCAAAAATGCTTCTGGAACTATAGGTGCTGCTCAGAAAGTATATCTGCTACAAATTTGTATGGGGATGTGGCCCTCGTTTCTTTGACAGGATGAGAAGTGCATAAAGCAGTTGTGCTTGACGTTGCGATTCCAGCATGAGTGGTTGTTGAAATGACTATGCTGCAGTATAAGTTTCCCATCCAAGCACTGCTTTGCCTTATAATTTTAGGTCGAAGTCTGCAGCGGAAGCTAATTTCCCAAGCCATTCATTGTTTGGTAATAGTAATTGAGCAATTCCATTCAGAAAAAAATTTCATCTTGGACCAGGGTACAACAAATCACAGTAAAACTTCACCAGTGCTAACTTGTCAAAATGAGCACGTGGTAGAGTGAGTCAGGAAATTCAGTTTCTATTTCTGACAAAAATTCACAGAACTGTTGATGGTTAAGTTCACCATTGACGCTGTCGGTTCAGTAATAGGATGGATTTGAATATTTTCTGCAAACTGCCTGCTGATGAATGATGTAATGAATAACCGTAGGCTTTAAAAACCTTACGTTTTCACAAGCTTTGTAAATTTGTCAAGCTAGGTCTTTTTCTGCTTTACGCATTTTTACTGCTATTTTAGCTGTAATAAATATTAGCAGATCCCACTTCAGATTATGCTGGATTAGTGTTTACTCAACTTCTTTGAAAGCATTATCACCTGTGGTTGTTCCATGCCGATTCATAGAGGCTGCCGCTTCTGTAGTTCAAACTCCTTGAATAATCAACAACTGAATAGTGTCTGTTACACTTACCAGCTCATCAGGAGGCAAGAAAAACACTCAATGGTGTTGCCCCGTTTTTCAATTGACTATTGACATCCCGATATCCTTCTTAACTTTTTAAGTAACTGTACTTACTTACCAAAACGGTAATAATCTTTAAATTTATTTTCTGTGGGCACGTTTCTTTAGCTTCTGCAGTCAAACACAATTTAACTCATCACCAATAAGTGATTTTCCTTACTTAGCCAACAGATGAGCCACTGGAAAGTGACTTTGGTCGAAGCCTTATTTTTTGTTTTTGTGATGAGGTATTTCATTTTAAGTTTGCAGATTTTTCAGGCCGTAGCTTTCCTGCATATTGGGAATATTGTGATGAGTGCTCAGTCTGATAATATCAGTGTGTCTTTGATCACTTCAGCACCGTCTTGGCGCCATTGCATAATAAACGTAGACTTTACCACCTAATCTGATGACAAATAATCCGCGCTTCCACTGTGCCTTCAGGGATGACATTTGAAGTCCACTTTCTCTTGATTCGATGTGACGACAGTGTACCTATAATTTTTTTTTAAAAAGTCACCATATGGTGACGACATACATGGCACTTGAAATGCTGTCGTTATAGTTACATCACTGCAGCTCACGGCGTGCAGGTCACCCGGTGCACATGGTCTCTGTGCTGATGACGCAGCTCTGCCTTTGCGGCGGGAAAGCAGCCGTGGGCCGTGCATGCATGACTGCGTGGCCATTCCGGTAAAACGATGAGCACTGACGTTCAAGCTTCATGTAATTTTCACTTCACAAAATATTCTCTCCTTTAAAAAAATATTTAAAAGTGTAAAACACCGCTCTTAGATCTCAAGGACTAAAAATAGGCGCCAGGACTGAATTCGGCCCGCGGGCCAGTGCGTCGACCCTGACCTCGTCTTTTCCGAGTCTAACAGGGCTTTTCAGGTGTTTTTCTGGGGTGAAATCTCGTTCGTGCGAGGTCTTAAAAGCCACGTCTTTACCCGCATTCTGGATTTTCGCATAATTAAGCCTGTTTTGGAGAATACATATGTTCTGTTTTCAAGGTTGATCTCCTTTCTCCTTTTAGATCATTTTCCACTTGTTCATCAAGATGGAAAGCTCAGATTCTAACGATAAAGGAAGTGGCGATCAGTCCACAGCACAGCGCAGAAGTCAGATGGACCGGTTGGACCGGGAAGAGGCGTTCTATCAGTTTGTAAATAACCTGAGTGAAGAAGATTATAGGCTTATGAGGGATAACAATTTGCTAGGCACCCCAGGTATGCGATGTGTACTTTAAGAATTTCCATATGTAAATTGCTGGTCTTTTTTTAAAAAGTCTTTTTTGAAAGTCTGTTGTTTTAGCATGATGAAGTGTGACTTCAATGCAAGGGATATAGCACAGAATGACATTTACTGCTGCACTTATTACCCACCTGATCCTGTTCACTCGTGTTTGAAATGATCCTATTCCATATCTTTAGTTATTAATTCTATTCTGCATTTATAGTGAGCTGAATCGAAGAGAGTGAAGCTGAACAATTTTTTGTTAGTTGGCTTTACTTACTAGACATGAGTCTGAATATGGCAGGGCCAGTGGGAACTTTAGTTCCTAGGACAGACTCTGTTTTGTCACTTCCGTTTCCCTGAATATGTCCCAGTCATCCTCCAGAGCTAGCCTTGGATCAAATTGTCAATTATTCACAACTTTGTGCTTGCTTATTCTCTTTTGCTCAGTTAGGTCCCATTCGATACTAGTTAAAATTCACGATCTCCCTCCTCATTTCTAGTTAATTTTACTAGTCTTCGGGTGAGCGCTCACAGTGCGAAAGGCAAGGCGTGAGTGAGAAGGGAGTGCATCTTGAGCCGGCAGTACCGGACTTGAGTCCTAAGCGGCCTTCTGGTCCTGCCATTTATTTATTTGCACTTCAGTCTCTAACTTCGTCTCAGTTCCTCCGTTTTAAAATACAAGCGACCGTATCTGCCTCCCAGAGGCGCATTTTTAAGGAACGAGATGCCGCATGCAAAAGCATTTAGCAAACTGGAAAGAAATCTGCATGACTATGAGTTGTAACACCCTGCCCCTCAAATAAATGAATTTTCCCCAGGTTCCCCACTCCCTCGTGTGCGTGTCAGATGGGCAAGGGTCATTGCTTTTCTGTTGTAATTTGGCAAACATTTAAAAACTATTTTCAGGTGAAAGTACCGAGGAAGAGTTGCTGAGAAGACTACAGCAAATTAAAGAGGGGCCGCCGCCGCAAAACGCAGACGAAAATAGAGGTATGCTTTGCTTTGGGGGCGGGGGGGTACGGGACGGAATGGGTACAGAACTTCGTGACACTACATGTCCTCCGGAGAGTATCCACAAGTGGCACAAGTTAACCTGGTGCTAAGTAACTGCTCATAAAAAGAGAAGTGACATTTCCTTGGTATTTGGTGAGGATGTCAACATGTTTTGTTTTGTTTTGTTTTGTTTTTTGGTGGTTCACCTTTGGGTCGTTTGCGTCAATGGGAACATAGTGAGGAATGGCCTATTTAAATGTGATTTTTTTTCTCTTGATTTTCCACATCCATTGAAGTCTCCTTCTACGTACTGAATTATTCCTTCCTTATAAACGTGAGTTGCTCACAGGAAGAAAGAAATGCTGTATTCGCTAAGGAGGTGGTTCTCACTTGGGTGTCATTTTGCCCCCTAGGGGACATTGGCAGTGTCTGGAGACATTTTGAGTTGTCACAACGTGGGGTTTGCTACTGGCATCTGGTGGCTGGAGACCAGGGATGCCGCCGAACGTGCTAACACCCTAAAACGTCCAGCACAGACCCCGCGACAAAGAGTTATCTGGCTCGGGCGCAGATAGGCCCATCGAGAAGCCCCGCCCGTCCGTCAGGCCGGGCACTGCTCTCGCAGTGGGAAGTGGAGAATCCCCCTCTGAGCAGAGAGGCCGTGGCAGCCGTCCGATTCGTGAACATACTGAGCTGGGTCTGGACTGTTCATTTGGTCTCATCTCCAGTTTCATGTTAGCTTAAAGTCTTGGCGACACGAAGGCCTCACACGCTATCGAGCCTGTGAACCTCGTTTGCATTTTGGCAGTGGCTGCAGCAGTTTTGTTTTCTAAAATGCCCCGTATCATCAAAGGCCGTTCAGAGCCCAGTAGAAGTGTCTTAACCGCTGAAAATGCGGCGGATGCAGCACAGCCCCGCACCGTGACCGCCGTCCGTCTGCTTCGGTCGCGTGGCGTTTTGGCCACGTGGTGCTGGGCCGGGCTTCCTCCACGGGCCCCGAGGCAGTCTCCAGCTG